TATTTGCAAGACCAATATAAGAATATCCAATTAAGTTGATTAATTACTAATACCTTTGGTTGAAGTTTTTGTCCCTTAAAATTGCTACAAATAAAATGATTTCATAAAAGTTGTAATTGTAAACATTAAGCAATGTTGATGGGCTTTGTCAGTGATAACATTAGCTTTTAAAACTCCCAAAGTATATTCAATATGAAAGTATATTAAAAAAATGATTAAAAACGTCCGCAAATGAGTTATTTTTTGAAAAAGTTGTCGAGTCTTCAAGTATATTTTTTTAAAAAGAATTTCATGTTTAAAGATATGTCATTCTTTTTTAATAATATTTAACTTATTTTATGATAAATAATTTGCTTGTAAAAAGTTATAAAAAAAAAATGAAATTCAATTTATTTAAAAGCTGTTTTTTATCATATGATTAATCATGGATAAAGGCATTAATTTGCGCATTAGACAAATGGAGAAGTCCGTATATGCAGAAAAGAAACGCAAAAATTCTGCGAGCCAGAAGAAAAGGATTTGGGTTATAAATTGAAGGAAAAGAAATGGTTAAATTATACCAGTCTGGTACTTAGTATTCAGAAAAGGGTTTTCCATATAGTACGTACACAGGCATAAAGGAGTAAAGGGGTTACCCAAAAATATGTTCAAGGAGAGGGACGCAGTTTGACTATTTTTCTTAAAACTTGTTTTGTTTTTTTAAACAAAAGTATTGAATGTTGTTAGTTTAAAAATCAGCGTCATGTTATGTTTGAAGAGAAATGTTGAACCTAAGTTTTTTTATTTCTTGAAAACTTTCAAGATGAAAGAGCTGGAGTGGTTTTGTTATAAATAATGCGTACGTACGCAGACATTTATTACCATATTTATTAAAAATTAATATCACTAAAAATTAATATCAGGAAAAGTTACTCCATATTTATTTAAACATTTATTTACAATCGTCAGACGTTTTTAATGTATTTTCGAATAATCTCGAGTAAATTTTTTAAAAAAAACCGGTAAGTGGCAAAAAAGAAAAAAAAAACAAAACCTTGCATGAATAAATAAGATTAAAACGTATTCTAATCGGTTCACTAAAATAAATTACAATAATTGGAATTTAATGTAAAAAGTCACTAATAAAATTTACTCGAAAACTGGATTAGATTTATTCGTTTAAATTGGCTCAAAACAAATCTTCCACAAAAAAAAAGAACGTCATTAGTTAAGCGTTCATGAACTGGTTATGTTACCTGGTTTCTAATGATGTAATTGACAAATTTCCACAAATACACACAAATGGTGCAAATAAGTGCAAAAAAAAAAGTTTTACAATCTGTATTCTTCAGCAATTTTATAAAATAAAAATTTGATACTGTATCTAAGTGAGGAATATAAACTAAAAGCGCATTGCTTGAAAAAGTTTAATAAAAATAAAATATTTTAGATAGACTTTTTTAAAAGACCTATCAATATATATTTTAAGTACTTTAAAATTATTTTTTCATTACCAAAAAAAAGCAGCAAACCTAAAATCAAAGATTTCCTGAAAAATTTGGAACTTTTAACAAACTTCAGCTTTGACACTATATAAACAAACTAGTACTAATAACTCTCCAGTTTTAAAGCATTTTTGCCCCACTGTGCGTTGTAATAATGATTTGGATTTTTGGTGATTTTTAAACGATACATACTCAGAAATAGAGACCAACCCGTCATCACAAATGTCTTTGAGTGATATATGAGTAAATATTTTGTGAAAAGAAATGTTGCGTTGATTAATCTCAACCAAAACTTCATCAACATGGTTTATCTCTGGTTCATTATGAATCACTTCAATTTCTAAAATAGATTCCTCGAAACTAATATTATTAATTTTTCTTGAACATTAGTGTCATTCTCAACATTTAAATTCTTATATAAGTTGGGATTGACGTCGTTGACGAGAAAGTCGGGATTGACGTCGTTGACGAGAAAGTCGGGATTGACGTCGTTGACGAGAAAGTCGGGATTGACGTCGTTGACGAGAAAGTCGGGATTGACGTTTACTTTTATCTAACTACTTTTATACTCGATAAAAGTAGTATAAAAGCTTTTTAAATCTGAAAGAGAAATTTTTTAGCCCAGGTTTTTTTCAATTTGACATGTATTAAGAAAAACCCTCATTTTATCTGAAAACTCATTTATTGTTGGAAAAATTATTTTGAATAGTTTACTAGGAAATAATTTGTGATAAAATAGATCAAGTGAAACCTTTTTTTGTTAAGTGATAACTTTGTTTGTTTTTTGTTTATTTAGCATTGCAGTTACAGATGCAACAAAGCCAGTATGTAGTGACATAACTTTTTGACGAATTTTCTCCAGAGTTTAATACTGAGTTTAATACCTCGTACAACCAAAATAATGCTCATAAGGTTCTTCAGTACAATATCTAGGGCATTTAATTCACTCCTGTGTGTACAAAAAGATTGAACCTATTGCATTTGCAACAATATTTTTCAAAGCTGTCAAGTTAATACCTTCAATAGATAAAAACTAAATCATTGCACCATTTAAAAGATATTCTTAATTGGAAATCAATATCGTCAGCATTTGTTGAAATTAGAAAAAGTCGGAGAAATACTAAAGTCAAAGAAAGTATAAACTGTGATTACTTTGAAATCGCATGACTGCTAAAATCTGCTTCTATTATACATTTTATTAAATTAGGGTCACAAATTCCATACACTAAGAAATCAGATGCATAATCTTTAATTTCATATAAATCCCTAGATATATTTAAACTTAGATATGAAAAAATTCCAGGTTGAATCAGATCTGATCCAATTGCTTTTAATTCAGTAATAGACAAAATTTGGTTTCTTATGGCTTTTGCAACATGATTATCATCTATGACAGCAACTTCATTTATTTTTTCATCAAGAAATTATAATAAAATCTTTGATATCCATTTACTTTCATATGATACACTATCTATGCAATATGACACAACTTCAAAATTTCAATGTCTCAAACTTTATTTAATCTTTCGTTAAGGCTATCTAAAGAAACATCAAGAATAACTATTTGAAATTTCTGCAGTGATATGATATTGTTATATTATATCAAGGACGTATTAATAGATGAAAATGATGGGAAAAAATAGAGAACAGATGTTAACTATTTTTAACTTAAGAATATTTAATTGATTTTGCGTCAAAATAACAATAGTCTCGCCTAGCCTAAGAAATATTTAAACATTCCATAACACTTAAAAACTCTAAAAAGTTTTTTAATAAATAAAACCTTTTCATAATATGATTTATAAACTCAAACGAAATCTTTACATGGAAAAAAAAAGTTAATCACAGAAAGATATCAAAACAAAATTGTGAGAGAAAATTTCCGACAAAAATGAGAAATTTAAATACTTAAAATAATAGTGAAAACTAAGTGTAGGGAATAGAGACCACAAGTAATCTATAGTTCGATCTATATATGATCTACAGTTTTACCTACCACTATCTAGAATATTCGTTTCACTTTGCAGTATTCATTCTTGCAAACTTAATATCACTTTTTTACAAAAACATGATTTTTGACGTCTTAGTTTAATTAATAATAAGTTCTTATTAAAAGACGCTCACATATCAAATTTGACATTTTAAAACAGATGAGCTATTTCTGATTGATGCATTAATTTTAAAAAAAAGCTGAGTTTTGTAGGTAATTGCACTTTTTAAAAAAAGTAATAAGAAAAGTGAAATTATCGGAAAAACGTCGGTTTACTTTTATAAATTATTCAGAAAAATGACGCTATAAATTATAGCTCGCATAGGTTTTTGCTTAATCGCGGCGCCTCACATCGATAACAATGAGTTATACGTCCTTGGTTATATTAATAGAAAATGATGTAGTATGAGATGTTTATGATTTTCTTTGTAAAGTTTATGAAATGATTAGAAAAAGAAATCATATCCTGAAATTTCATTTGTTTCTGAAACAGTAAGTCCATTTGCCAAAAGTTCTTTTTTCAGATTTTGAAGTAATACTTTTAATTTTTAAACTCACCTTAGCAGCTTACAATTTTCGTTTTTCATTATATAGTGAATGGTTAAGTTTACAGCTCTTTACAAATTCTTCAAGTCTGCATCACGAGTAGGTATTAAAAAGGATACAAGTTCTCTTCTCTCATTAAATACACCATGGGTTAGTTTTATTTTAGCTTCAGTAGAAAATCAATTTCAGAAGTAGCTACAATTTCAAAACTTTTAGAAAAACAACAGAAAAAACATGTCTTCATTTTCTTTACGATACGATACCTTGTGAGATGGATTTACAATGTTACATACTCATAAGTAGTAAAAGCTCTTCCCTTTCGTACTTTGATTTTAACGTTATATAGAAAACATTGTATATTTTAAATATCTTGATCCAATTTAACGTACTTTCATTCTAATTGTATTTTGCTTTAACAGACCACTTAACTTTTTAAAGCCATATTTTATTTTGAGAATATAAATGAAGCGCGGACCGAAGCGGAAAGTCTTTTAGTAAAACACCCTATATATATCATGCGAGCCCTTCCTTTGTATACCTTTTAAAATAAAAAAGTCCCGTGCACCTGCCGTCAATAGTTGAGATCCGCACATCAACAAACGGAAGGCCTTACATTTTGAGATAAAATTTTTTTTCATGAATTCTTAAAACAGACAGGGCGCGTACCGCAACACATTTTATTACTGGGCTATTCTTAAACTGCATAATCCAATAGGTTTATGTCCGGCCATGGAATGATTAATTAAAAAATAATACAAACGAATTGACTAAACGATATTTGACACCCGACATAGTTCCCAAACCAAGCGGAATACACCCCCTAATCTCGGTTACTATTGTAATAATTGAAAGCCTGCACTCTATCATATAAAAGTCCTAGCTCTGACCGAACTTGTCAATGTAACTATTGACATAGCATGCCACGGCTATTAAGTAGGTAATATAAATTATTAAAAACAACGACAGGAAAAACAAAAAAATTCAAGTAACGGCATTAATCTTCAGCTTCAACATTAATGGTTTGGAGTTCTAAAAAAAAAATTATTAAATATTGCAAAAAGAAAAAGATGGAAGTTGTACTTAAAAAAAAATGACTTATTACAAAACCTTTATTAATTACTAAAAACACTTACTTTTGAAGGAGTCAACTTTGACAACGGTTACCAGAGTATATAATTTGTTTGCAGAATCTTCATCTTCGTTTCTACGACGAGCTAAGCGAACTCTAGCACGACGAGGAACATTGCTAAAATTAAATCATTAATTTAATTAAAATTTATTTGGGTTTTTCCATAAAGTACATACACAGGTATGGGAGAGTGGTAAAACAATGTACAATTTCATGCAAGAAAGGTAGGACACAGGGGACAAAAAATCAATATTATGTTATGCAACAGAAAAATGCATAACTAAAAATTTTACGATATCAATGTTCTGAAAAGTTTATGCGCTGGGAAGAGGTTAATTTTGTAATATGTTGCTTAGGAAAGGAGAGGTCACTAGAAGTATACAAATGCGCACTAAAAGATGAGAGGTCTTAAATTCAGGATTACATACTCGATGGATGCCCCATTTATTAAAAGCAGATATGGTTAATAACTGTTATTGGCATTAAAAACGCACTTTTAATTTTTAAACAGTTAAAGTTATTTTAACATTAAACTTAGTTTTATCTTAATTTATGGTTTAGGAAAACCAGTTAAATTGTTTTTTAAATCTTCTTAATTCCTTATCAAGTTTTAACAACCAAAAACATTAAACAGGTGAAACACAGAACAAACTATATTATAAAATAAATGACCTTTGCAAGGTATGACTTACCGAATACCGTGAGACCACACATATTTGTTCAAACCAGTATCTATTCGAACATCAGTAGTGCCCATCATTTTCTTGGCAAATTTTTTTATTTCTCTAATTGCTCGTGGAGCCTTTTTCTTAAACGGTCTAAATCAAAGTAAAAATTTATTAGTTTTAATAGTCAAATGATTGTATAAGTATAGCTAAAATATTATTAAAGAGTATGATGTATAGTGTATACTATTATAAAATGTTTATAAGTGTAGCTAAAAAAAGTGTATACTCAAATGATATATTCTATGAGTGTAGCTAAATTAAATGATATATATTTAACAAATGCCAATACGTATATCTATTAATTTTAGGCATGTACCAATGCATCAGCATCGACCTGCCGATGCATTGACCATTTAGCAGTTGTCAATTTTTTTTTAAAACTTTTAAATTTAATTTCTGTGTTTCTATACTATAGTCCAACATAGAATTGTGCCATAAACATTAATGCAATGTATAAACCTAACGTATTAATAAGTTTTATATTAGCATAAATGCAACCACTTAACTAAAAAATTTTTAACTGCTTTTAACAGGGCTCCCTACTTTTTAAGTGTTTTCTTATAACCAATAAGAAATTAAATAATAATAATAAATTATAAATTATGATTGCTTTACACAAATATTTTTCTTAAAACTCTTTAAGTTATTTTTTACAATCAAAATATTTCATTACATTATATTAAAATTAAATAACAAAAAGAAGTTTATTATTAAATTAAAAGTATTTAATAAATAAAAATTTAATATAAGTAATGTTTTATAATTTAAATTCGTAAAAACATTTGCAAAAAATTGCTAATTACTAGAAGTAACAATATTAAATCCTTTTATTTATTCTTTATAAAACTAAATTGTTCTAATTTGAACAGAATGATGAAAGTAAATATTTATAAAACAAGTTTTTTTAACTGAAGTAATTGCTCTAATTATCTAGATAACAATAAAAAATAAAAAATAAACTTTAACAGTAACAATTTAAAAACATTGCTTTTATTGTCACATCAATGGAATATGGCATTTCCATTTAAGGTATATTTGTTGATGCATCGCTCTGTATCCATCGACATCTGTACACCCCTAATTAATTTGCACAAATGCAGCTTCTTATAATAAAAAAAACCCCAAACTTAAAAATGAAGTTTCAGCTACCAATGCTAGTTGTATCTGCCATGTTAAACATGTAACAAAAAAACTTTTACTTAAACTTTTATTTTAAACAGTCTACATGTTTAAACTGAACATTTATTTGAACATACAGTAAAACATAACAAGTATTATTTTAATTGTAAATACATATTTTATATAATACAACATTTTACAATTTACATACATTTAGTATTTTACAATTACAAATAGCAACAACAACAACAAAAAGCATACAAGGTTGCATTCTAGGTAAGGACACGCAAATATTCGTTAAAATTTGGATTAAGAAATTTGGTGAAGCTAACTTTGACTAATGTATCAAATTGAAATTTGACTTTTAGCAAAATTCTATTTTGCTATATTTGATATAAACTTCAGTTAAATTTTCAAGTTATAAATTTTTATTAATTTCAAAAAATATGTAAATAGGGGAAAGCAGGGCAATATGGGTTTTCAAACTAGGGCTGTACCGGATTTAATTTTTCAAATCCGGCTGGAGCCGGATTTCTACTGACAGATCCGGCCGGAATCGGAGCCGGATTTCAAAACAAAACTACAGGAGTCAAAATCCTGTACATCCCTACTTGGTGTTGAGCATGGTGAACAATGTGGACTATTCAGAATACCAAGTGACTGCTGTTTTCTGTTAAACTTCATTGTTGTTATTTAAAAATTTTTATAGCGATTTCTATATATAAATTAATAGAAATTCTAAAGAAATTCTATAGGCCATATGTTTTAAAAGTTTATAGTAATTCTATTGAACTTTTTTTCCAGGATTTTGTCACTACGCCACTGTAGTGGATAATTGTGTCTATTTATTTCTGGTTCTTTCGGATATTTCCTTAGCCGAGTTTCAATGCCTTTTAGTAATTGTTGTTTATGTGCCCTGTCACCAGCGGACGTAGACTGAATAGTTTTATCAATAAATTGCCAGAGTAATGATGACGATGATGTAGAAAAATTATCAAGCCCGGCTTATTTTGGTGGATTTTCTTCAGTTTTGTCAATCTTCTGGTCAGTATCCTCAGATTGACTTCAATTTTGTTTTTTCAGCTGTCAGTGTTGCCTGTAATGAGGAGAACTTAGTTTTAAATTGTGAGTCAACCAGTCTCGTCAGTATATAAAGAGGTTTCTCTTTTCAATGCTTTTAAAACGCTCATCCAATCACTTGATTAGGGTTGACATCATAGTCTTTATACCTACATCATTGTAGAATATCGTGTCTTCCCTTCAGAATTTTTTGTTGCGTTGTTGTTTGAAATTAGACTAAGCTTATTAAATTATAAAGAAATATAAATACAAATACCAAAACAAATATGAGGTTCATAAAATATAGAATTACAAAAAATATTGATTTTTATAAATAAAATATTATGTATACATGTAAACACGGGCAAAAAAAAAAAAAATGTAATAAATATTTGATAAAATTCAAAACTCCGGCTAAAATTATGCTGGATTTGCTAAATTTTTGCTGGAGCCGGATTTTGGCCGGAGCAGGAGCCGAAATCCGGTACAGCCCTATTTCAAACCTAATGTCATTTATAAGGTTCAACATACTATTCTACTCTAACTACTACTGTATGTATTACATACAGTAATATGTTGATGTTATATTAACTATACGTTTTTAACATGGAATTTTATTTTTTCTTTATAATTCAACATGGCTGTGAATGGTTTTGAAATCTATTTTGAAATATAAAGTTACTAAAGTTGTATGGTTCATCAGATCTTGTGATAATTTCTTGAGGTATTAGAATAGCTTATTACTTTTTAAATTTCCAAAAATTTTTTGTTTTGTTTACAAAGCTTAATTTAAGTTAAGAGTAAATTAAGCTGTGTTTTATTTTAACAAGGAAATTGCTGATGTTCTGAGAATAACGAATCACCTCAACCTTGAGATTTAAAACCTTCTTTTATTTAAAGATCAAAATCACATTGTCAATATGCACTAGACACTTTTCCTTCTTCAGAATGAAAAATTATGACAAGATATTTATTTTCCTTTTTTAAAATTTACATATATATAGGAGTGACACCAAATAACTATAACAATAATTAAAAAATAATATTATCTATAATAAAACAAATAATATAATTATAATAAAATATAACTAATAAGAATAAATATAAATAATTATTTGAAAAGGAAGGTGTCACTCAAACCCATAAATAAGGATCGACAAAGTGAAGAGGGACAATTAAAAACTTATAAACTTTCTTTTAGGCTTTTGATTTTTTGTGCAATTAATAACATATAATTCATACCTTATAAATGACATGAGATTTTTGCAAATTTTCAGGGCTTGCTAAACAAATAATGATTAAGAGCCTAAAGCAAAACTGATTTCAAAAACAAAGTATTCTAAAAGTTATAACTCCTATTTTTGCTGTTTTTGAATAATAACAATAATAATAAAAATTAAAACTTACAACTTTTATCATATAATAATATAAAAATTATTGTTAAAACTTGTGATATATAATGGGAATTTAATACAACCAATTACATTCATATATTAAGTCACATGATTACACCGATAAAGCTACAGTTAAGCTGCCTAAAATAATATTTTTTTGCTTGTTATGCAAGGATGTATAGCTACATTATCTTATAGCTTGACTCACAACAGAGTGCTGCTACATCGACTGAGGGTTTGGCATGGGGCAGCAATATTTTTTTTTATTATTTCAATTAATATTTCTATTGTTTACAAAGCTTCTTCCGAAATGAGCGCAACAAGCGAATATAATAAAATTTTTTTAGGCTGCTTTACTGTACGATTACTGATTATGCCATATATTAAGTCACAAATTTTGAAATGTTTTAGCGCTCTTTATTAGTTAAAATATTTTAACTATTTCGAACAAATAAATTACTAGAACTTAATCAAAGAGTTAAAAACTAAAAGTTAAAATCAAAAAGAGTTAAAAATTCTACACAATGAAACAATACTTAAAAATTAGAAATATTTATTTGACAAGTAATTTTGTCTCTGGTTGTCTGTCAGCTCTTATTAAGCATATTTTTTGTCAGAATGTATTGATAATGCGCCCTCATAGAGCACTTATATCTGATTTGTTGCTTAAAACTTTAATGTTTCTTTTATGTAACAAAGACTTATAGGCTATATAGTGATAGTTGATGCTTTTGAATTAATACTAAGAAATAATTACAACATAAATTTAATTGAAATGATGTAGTAATAGTTGTTAGCACAAAAAATACATAAAAATAAAGAATTTTTAATTTAATCTCCAGATATATTTTTTAAATAAATTCATTGAATTCTGCACATAACCTTAATATACTTTTGCAATGTGGCTTATTATCACAGCACTTGTAACCTTTTGCAGTTTTGTTCACAATTGGCTTTAATGTTAAGCCAAAATTTGGCTTTACATTAAAGCCCTTAAAACTCTTGGCCTCAGAACATGTGGTCTTAACAACTTTGATGAAATGTATTACTTTGTATTTTTGATCATCCCTCAATGATGTGCATAGAGAACACTGTTTAATTAGATAATGAGCTAGGTTTTTAAAAGTAAACTAGGATGTAGGTTTACTGTAAATTGTTGTCCACATATTATAGTTAATTATAGAAAAAAAAATATTCTGACATAATGATTTTATTTTAAGAAATGATGTAAATAATGGATTATAAAATAAATTTTAGGTGATGAATTTTAAGAAAGTTCGATAAATTAATTTTTAGTAGTAGACAAAATTTATCTGAAATTATAAATGCTTCTCATAGGTATAAATTTAAAAAATATATCTTACAAGTCATGAATTCTTTTGTGCAAATTAATAGTATACTCTCTTGTCACCACTTCATTCATAGGCGATTTAGTCGACTTTTTCTTGTCGTTCTTTTTTGCCATTTTTCTAATATAATTATTTAAAAAAACAATTTTAAAAAATACTTCTCGGTATCATCAATATATTAAACAAAGTCAATGTAAGTCGATTAACAAGTTCTAAACAAGTAAGGCGATTTTAAAGATATCCATCGATTAAAAATTTGCATATCGGCCAGTCAACTTACCACAAATAGTGAAGTAAAAAGGCCGACCATGTTAATTTACGCAAAATTTTTTGCGGAATATATTGTGCCGGTGGCCGAAAAAACAGTTTATGATTGACTAGACTATGTTATTTACAATTTGGTTTTGACCATCAAAAATAATAAAATACATATTGAACTTCTTTAAATTAGATCAAAAGAGCTCATACAAAGTTAGGGTTTTATTTTAAGTATTAAATTATGACATAGCCCATAAAGTATAAAGAAATTAAAAAGAAATTAAAATAAAATTTAAAAATTGCTCTGTTTTTGAAGAAAGAAAAAAGAATATTTTTTAAATTTTGTTATTTTTGAATGACAATATATCTTTGCTTAATATGATTTACTTTTTATTTTAATATTGTTATTTATTATAAAAACTCTATACTTTTCGTGTTGTGTGTGACACGTTTTTATTTGTTATTAGTATTATTGAATAATTTTTGTTTTGTTTATTTATGGTTATTTTTTAATGAAGTATTTATTATAATTTTATTGATTTTATTATGATTATTTATATTAGGATTTTTATATTTATTAAATCATTGTTACTTTTTTTTTGCAGTAATTGTTTAACATGGTAGGTTGTTACGTTTTGTCAGTACATAACTGTTTGTAACTTTTATATATATATATATATATATATATATATATATATATATATATATATATATATATATATATATATATATATATATATATATATATATATATATATATATATATATATATATATATATATATATATATATATATATATATATAAGATCGAAGGACTTCTATAAACACAGGAAAAAAATATTAAAATAATAAAAAAATTATAAAAATGTCGTGGACCTTTTGTATGAAATGTTTCTTCATATTTTTAATGAAAAACAGGACTTTGTCTTAAACTGTACTTTCGAAAGTTTTAAGGCTAATTCTAAACGGCATTTACGAAATATGGAATTTGATATATTGGATTTTAAATATACTTTTTTGATAATGTTCACGGTTATCTCTCTTTTGTCTTATTTTATTTCTTAAATTATTAAATCAAAGTATTATTAGTTTGTATGACGAAAGTTTTGTGTGTTTTTACTGTTTTACTGATTAATTATTAAATACCCGACGGGCATTTATTTTTAAAAATTATGTTCTAAATGTATTTTAGATGTCTTTTAAACATCTTCAGAACATTCTCATGTAAAGAACGTTTAAAAGACGTTTGAAAGACGTTTGAAAGACGTTTAAAAGATATTTAGAAGGTAACTTTAAAAAACAAATGCCCGTAGGGTATGTAAATTTTTAAAACGCTTAAAAACACCAATGTTATGGGGGCATGGTGGTACCTTATCTTCTTCTAACTTACACACACACACACACACACACACACACACACACACACACACACACACACACACACACACACACACCCAGCAAACTCGCCATGCTTGGCCCATGCATGGCCCACCATCGGTGCCATGACTGGCCCACCATCGGCACCATCACACCGTTTATTGCTTGGCCCATGCATGGCAGCCGTTCTGCGACCAGCGTTTAGCCGTTGTTTTGCCAGTGATCATTTTTACGCTACTTTAGGTTGATTTTATTTGCTTTTTAACATGTATTGCTATTTTTATAAATAAACAATACTTAAATAAATGCGAGATTGTAACTTAAGCAAGCAAATGCAAGATTTTAACTTAGAGATTTTAACGTAAAATAAGTAAGGAAGAAAAAGATAAAGCGAGGTGATGAGTGATGTGCGCCTCATCATGTTTGACACATGATGAGGCGCACAGATGGGTTGTTAGCGAAGTTTTCCTTGTGATCTTTCAAAGTGAAAAAACAGTTAGAGGATCCGTTTATTTCTATTTTTTTAAATACCTCGTGGTTGGTTAAAATTTGTTTTCCTTCTTTGTTTATATGGTCCTTTAATTTTGGATTTACTTTTTTGTATGTAGTGGTAATAGCATTTGTTAACAGATTATTCAGTTCGGCTCCGTTCAGCTTAAACATCAAAACAAAAATGGGAAACCGTTTTCTAGCCCTTATTGACTTACATTTTCCAGCCGATCACAAGCTACATAAAATATTCAACCGAAATTCTATTAAAATTAGCTACAGTTGCATGCCTAACCTAAAATCTATCATAAATTCGCATAATTTCAAAATTTTACACAACAAAAATCAATTAAAAACCAACCAAAAGCATTTTGCTCTTTGAACAATCAATGTTTATCTAACAATATTGTCTATCAAGCAACCGTAAGTTCCAGTCATCATGATCGTAATAAAAAAGTATATTTTGGCATTAGTAATACACCATTTAAACTAAGATACGCAAAACATCTCAAATCATTTGCATCAGTTAAATATAGAAATGACACAGAACTATCTAAGGAAATATGTTTAAAAGACCAAAACATAAAGCCCATTATAGAATGGAAAATTGTCAAACGTTGTAAACCTTACAATCTAGCAACAAAAATATGCCACCTTTGTCTCTACGAATTGTGTGTGTGTATATATATATATATATATATATATATGTATATATATATATATATATATATATATATATATATATATATATATATATATATATATATATATATATATATATATATATATATATATATATATATATATATATATATATATATATATATATATATATATATATATATATATATATATATATATATATATATATAACACACAAGAGAGAGTATTTTTTAATTAAAATATTAACAGTGATGTTAATGTTCTAGTAGCTATACAAATAATGTTTTTTTAATTTATTGAGAAAAATATATCGAAAAACTGAGTTTTCAGTTTTAAAAGAATGAGGGAGATTGTTCCAAGCATTGGTGCACTAATGTTTAATTGATTCGCTGCCAATTTTTATTTCTAGTGCGTTCTACAAAGATATATTGCATGAAGAGGATCTTAAGGAAGTGAAATGTTTGTTACGTAATTGAAAGAAAAAGTTCTTGAAGGGTATTCTAAGTTTATCATAAAGATAATACAAATAAACAATTTAAAAGAATAATATTGCCATTTATCTTTAGAGTTTTTAATAATTTATACAGCAGAGAGACATTGTCAAATAGGTAATTTTGAAAGTGAATAATATTAAAAAAATAATAAAAAATCCTGAAGGGCTTTTTGTTTTGTTTTGAGATGAAACTAGTTAGTTTGAGAAAAGTTTGTTTTAAACCCTAAATCTGACACACATACCTAAGGTGCGATCCAAATATAGCATGTTAAATGCTCATAAGTGTTTCAAAATTTAAGAAATGTCTGATCTTAGCTAATATTCTAACAGATCGACTTAGCTTAGTCTGTAAGTAAGCTTGATGAGACTTAAAAGAAAGACTCTCATCCAGCCAAACTCCTAGGTACTTCGCAGTTTTAGACGAAGTTAATATTTTTCCATTATGCTCCTTGTTTTTTTGGTTTTTGGTTTTAAAAACAACTATTTTAGTTTTTGTAGTGTTTAGTGAATTTTATTTGCTCTAAGCCAATCAATAACAGAAAATATGGCCTCATTAATTTTTAATTGCATTTTTTCAAACCAATCTTCAACAATTAACAAATTAATGTAATCTTCGGCAAAATAATACGTTGAAACATTATTAATGGTGTTGAAGTTCGTTAATGTATACAAGGAAAAGCAGAGGCACCAATATTGGCCCTTGAGAAACTCCCGAAATTGTAGTTTTGGTTAATGAAGATGTTTAATTAATTGTAATTTATATATATATATGTATATATATATATATATATATATATATATATATATATATATATATATATATATATATATATATATATATATATATATATATATATATATATATATATATATATATATATATATAATTTATAATTGCTCTGTTCTTTTAAGAACATTGAGCACTCTATTTTGTAGAATAAATTTTTTTTTTGATTGTTTAAATATATATATATATATATATATATATATATATATATATATATATATATATATATATATATCTGTGTGTATATATATATATATATATATATATATATATATATATATATATATATATATATATGTATATAAAATTGAAAATGCATCATTTACGGTAATATACTATTTATTTTAAATATTAAAAAAAATTTAATTTTAAACGTGGTATTTCGGCTCATAGTTAAAGCCATTTTCAAACTAAAATGCGTTACAATAATTCATTATTTACAATCAGGGTTGGACTAACTCTGAAACATGGACCGGAAAACCATGAGTGACTGACCTCATCAAATTGTAACAGCCTATTTACACTTTTTGTTTTTTTAAATTTCATTTAATATTTTTAATAAAAGGATGGCTGACAGTTTTTTCTATAATACAATTAATGGCGGTTGTATCGAAAGACAATCTTGCACCCAAATGAAACAGGTTTCTTAGAAAGAGGTTTCTTCAAAAAAGTGACCTAGTTCTAATAAATTAATAATAACTAATGAGGTATAATAATCTAAATTATTAAAACTTTTTTTAAAAGTAAAAAAGTATGTTTTACAACATCATCAATAATGTTGTTGTGTGTTAATTCTTCTAAAATGTCTTTACTTAAATTCATTAAGATCCAAGCATCCAAATTGTCAAGTAATAAACGATTCCGTAGACAATTTTTTATATAACTCAAGGTAGAAAACCTTTTTCACCGCCTACTTGGGTGCAAGACAAAGTCAAGATATATTTAGACTGGGTAGAGAAGTATTAAATTTTTCATTTTCAAGCAGGGCAGGACCACAGTCTTTAAGTGTCTCGTACATTTCAACACATTTATTCTTAAATTATAAATAAAAA